TTCTTTTTCTCCTCTCATTTCCTCTCCTTTCTTCTTTTCTTTTCTTTTCTGTTTTTTTTTTTTTTTTTTTTTTTTTTTTTTTTTTTTTTTTTTGTTCTGTCACCCAGGCTGGAGTGCAGTGGAATGATCATGGCTAACTGTGGCCTCTGCCTCCCGGGCTCAAGCGATTCTCTCACCTTAGCCTCCCAAATAGCCAGGCATGCACCACTGCCTGGCTAATTTTCACATTTTTACATTTTTTGTAGAGTTGAGGTTTTACCATGTTGCCTAGGCTGGTCTCAAACTCCTGAGCTCCAGCGATCTGCCCACCTGTTCTTCCCAAAGTGCTGGGATTACAGACGTGAGCCACCCAGCCACCGAGCCTGGCTGTCCTATTTCTTTGATTTGCTCTTCCCAAGAATTTAAGCAAAGTTTGTCTTGGAAATTGAATACCTTTGTTATATATGGTGATGAGCTGTGAAATGGAGGTAGGAGATGGAGGAGGGAGTAGCAATAATCACTGATTATGAGTTCCGCAGCTGCTTCTGATTTATTGGGACTTCAGGTAAAGTTCCCTTTCTGTTTGTTGGAGTATTCCCATCCATAAAAAATGGGATTAAAACTTTGCCAAGAGGAAAACAAAGGCAAGAAAGAAGGCTAAAATACTGAGCTGAAATTGAGGGGAAAATATTTGAGTTCCATAGAATGGCGACATATTTTGCATAAATATAAATTTAAAATATCATTAATGCTATAGTGATAATCACTACTCTGCAATTAATTAAGTACAGCCCTGGGAATCAGTTTACCAGGGTCATCTTGCCAAATGAAGATAGTTGGAAAATGCCTCCTTGTGCCTCAGGTCTCCCACTCCTGTCATCCACCACTCCCTTGATATTCCTGTCAGGGGGACAACAGTCTGAATCTGCCCTGAGACACTTACAGGTGTCCTGCATTTGGCCTTCTTGCGCAGTGGGGTGACTGTGGAGCAGATCAGCGTTTGAATAAGAAACTATTTGTAAAGCTTTTTGGCTGTGAGGGAGAGGCAAGCTTAGCAAATGTGAGGCAATGGGCCAGAGAAGATGATAGTGATGTCACTTAGATCCTCATGACTAATGCTTTTCTTTTCCTTTCTTTTCTTTTTTTTTTTTTTTTTTTTTTTTTTGAGATGGATTGTCACTCTAGTGCCCAGCCTGGAGTACAGTGGCCCTGTCTCGGCTCATTGCAAACTCTCCCTCCCAGTTTCAAGCGATTCTTCTGCCTCAGCCTCCCAAGTAGCTGGGATTACAGGCACATGCCACCACACCTCGCTAATTTTTGTATTTTTAGTAGAGACAGGATTTCACTATGTTGGTCAGGCTGGCCTCAAACTCCTGATCTTAGGTGATCTGCCCTCCTCTGTCTCCCAAAGTGCTGGGACTACAGGCATGAGCCACCATGCCTAGCTGATGATTGATGCTTTTCTGATGTGACTTTGAGAGCTGTTACAAACACAAGAATTGATGGCCGTCAATCCCATCTGCTGTACTTCCTATATTCTTGATGCTTTGTCTTATAGGAACAGGGCAAGTCTAGCCTAGTCTTCCTTTGATTCACACTGGATGAGTGAACTGCATGTGGGGGTCAGAACTCAGTGCTTTTGTACTGAGGATGTTACCTTATTACCAGAAGGTAATCCTAAACCTAATTTCAACCTAATTTCAGCTGGTACCTTTGCAATTCCCTGGTTATTAGTTTCTTGTGGGATGTGTGTGGGAAGTGGAGAGGAGACCTGAGGGAGCAATAGCGGGAGGATATGGAAATAGCTCAGTGTCACAGTACTGTATTGGTAGTGCTTGGCTAAATTCCAGAAGTCCAGCAAAAGAAGGACTATCTTTTCTATTTTATTTATTCAGAGACAAAATTTATTTATTTATTATTTTATTTATTTACTTCTTTTTAGAGACAGGGTCTGGCTCTATTGTCAGGCTGGAGTGTAGTGATGTGATCATAGCTCACTGCAGCCTCCAATTCCTGGGCTCAAGTGATCCTTCCATCTCAGCCTCCTAAGCAGCTGGGACTACAGGTGCACCAGCACACTCTGCTATTTTTTTTTTTCCGGTAGAGACAGGGTAATGCTACATTTCTCAGATTGTGGGACCATCTTTTGAATCTGGCAAAACCCATATCCTATAGATCCAGAATTGCTTACTGATAAGTCATTTTATTTCTTCTGGACGCAAGTGGCCTCCAAAGACTTTCAGACTCTACCTGAGCAGATGCTTGTTTATTGACATGGAAGTTATTTTTCTAGATGAACTTTTAAAATCAATGATTTTTAAATATCAATGCACACCAGAATCACTCAGTGGACACTGTAAACTATCTGGCCCCATTCTTAAAGACTATGATTCAGTAGGTCTGGGTTAGAGGCCAGAAGTCTGCATGTTTAACAGGCATCTTAGGTGATTCAGATGGTCAGCCTAGAATTTGGCCCAGGTTTTGAACTAGTCTCTTTCCACCGCAGTCTGTTTTAATCACCTTCATTGAAGGATTTATTAGCATCTCCATGTTTATTATCTGTTTCATTCTCATAGTATCACAGTAACTCAAGCGGGAACAAGAGGTGGTTAGCTCCATTTTATGGGATATAAGGAGGTGGAAGGTGGGATTGAGGCACTGGGAGAGGTAGGTCATGGTGAGTCAGAGACAGAGACAGGAACTGAAGTCCAAAATTGAAGACTCCCAGACCAGGCAATTTTCTGGGGCCTGTTTTCTCAGCTTGTGATTTTATATTTAATCATAGTTATTCCCTGGGTCTCCAGTTCATTGTATTTGGGTAAGAAAAGCATATTTGTGTTTTAAACAAAGTAGTTTAGCATCAGGGTGCCAGCTTTTGTTAGTGTATCAAGGCTCTCTTAAGCTTCAGCTAATATCTAGAATAGTATGTGTGCAACTGACCTAATCTGCGTCTCTTTGTGCTTGCTTCCTTTATTATTTCTGAAGACGTTTTTTCTTTTTTTTGAGACAGGGTCTCACTCTGTCACCCAGGCTGGAGTGTAGTGGCAATCACAGCTCACTGCAGCCTCGACTTCCTAGGCTCAAGTGATCCTCCCACCTCAGCCTCCTGAGTAGCTGGAACTATAGGTGCACACTACCACGTCCTACTAATTTTTTTTTTTCTGTAGAGATGGGGTTTTGCCATGTTGCCCATGGCTAGTCTTGAACTCCTGAGTTCAAGTGATCTACCACATGCACCACTGCCCCAGATGGACTTTTCACATAAAGTATAAGGGAACAGATATCTCTTCTCCATACCTACAGAAATCCCCTCTGATCTTCTGTTAAAATACTAAGTTAAAAAACTTCTTAGCCCTCTGTCTCCCAAAAGTTGGGTAGTATTAAATATATGGATCCATTTTTAGCCTGGACTATATGGTGAGACTGTCTCCATACACACACACACACACACACACACACACACACACACACACACACAGCTGGATGTGGTGGCACATAGCTCTGTCTGCACACATACACACAACTCTGGATGTGGTGGCACATAGCAATAGTCCTAGCTACTCAGGAGGCTGAGGC